GAATTTCTTTTTAAGTCACATAGATTCAGTGTTGGTAGGGTATGGGAATGCTTAGCATTTAATGCCTTCTTTTAAGATGGAAGACTCTTTGAGGGCAAGGACCTATCTTTTTGTTAATTTAATAAGCGTCTTAGTATCTAATACATGATAGGTGTGTAATAAATATTTGCTATCTAAATCAGTGAGTAGAGAACAAGTCAGTATAACTTTTCTAGAAGGTACTTTGGCCCTCTTGCTATAAAAATATTCGTACCTTTTGAACTAGTTATTCCATTTATAAAAACATAGAATTTTTAAAAAAATCACTGAGGCACACCAAAGGATATTCATTCTAATCACATGTAAAACAGCAAAATTTTAGGATAAATAAAATATTGGGTATTTAAGGACTGAGTACTAAGCAGCCATTAATGTTTTTTAGAGAATATACAATAATATGGGAAACGGTTAGTTGAAAAATATAGTAGGATATACAAAATGCACAATTTAATCTAATATTGTTTTACATACGAAAAAATGCCAAAAGGAAATTGATCAGCATGTCAACTGCAACTTCAGTTGTCTCTGGTGGATTACAGCTGATTTTCTCTTTTATATTCTTTTGATGAAGATAAAATTTGTTTAATGATTTTTTTGCTTCTATTTTAATTTTTCTCACATTTTTTATTGGTGCTTTGTAGTTATTTTATAGTTAGTTTTATTGGTGCCTTATATAATGGTGGGGTTTGTTTTTACATATTTAAAATTCCTTTTCTAATCAGAAAATAAAAACAAAAACCAAGTTATGATCTTTTTAAAGATGGAAATGGTTGTTACAAGTTTCCTTCAGCTAAATAGTGGTTCTCAAACTTAAATGTCTATTAGAATTACTTGGATAGTTTGTGGAAAGAGATTGTTGCCTCTATTCTCACTCTTATTTAGTTTTGGTTGGGTTCAATAACTTGCATCTTTAACAAGTTACTGGGCTAAAAGATAGCAACAGAAAATGGCTACAAGGAATAGTGAAAATGATGTGGGTTTTGAGGTTAGTCTAGTTCTGATTCTGGCTCTGCCCTTGAAGGCTGTGTGGAGCAAAATTTGACACACTTTAACCTTGCTCAGACTGTTTACACATTGATAAAATAAAAGTAACATATCTCATAGGTAGGTGTATTGCTAAAGTTAAATGATATGGTTAAATATCCAACACAGTCTGACTTAGTTAAGGTCCTTAAATCTTTGATTTCCTCTAAAGATGGTAGTACATCTTTTCCACAAATGAGTTTATAGTCACGTGTTTAGCCACACTACAGATCAAAGCATTTCCTCTAAACCTAACAAGACATACACATCCATCTTCTATGAATAAAATCTTCATTGTTCATCTATAAAAACTGGGGATAGGGGCTGGGGCTGCAGCTCAGTGGCAGAGTGCTTGCCTAGCATGTGTGAGGCACTGGGTTAGATCTTCAGCACTATATAAAACAAAAGAAAACAAAAAAGACATGCTGTTCATCTACAACTACCATTTTTTTTTTTAAAGACCAAACCAAACCAAACCAAACCAAAACAAAAAACAAACTGGGGATAGCTGGGCACCGTAGTGCCTGTCTGTAATCCCAGTGATTTGGAAGGCTGAGGTAGGAGGATAACAAGTTCAAGGCTTGCCTCAGCAATTTAGCCAGGCTCTAAGCAACTTAGTGAGACCCTGTCTCAAAATAAAAAATAAAAAGGGCTGGGATGTGGCTCAGTGATACAGAGACTCTTTTCAATAACCAACCCTCCCCTTTCAAAAACAAACAAACAAACAAACAAACAAAATTGGGGATAACGGGCCTGGCCTGGTGGCACACGCCTATAATCCCAGCTACTTGAGAGGCAGAGGCAGGATCACAAATTTGGGGCCAGCCTCGGCAACTTGGAAAAACCCTTTTTCAAAATAAATAAAAACAACTGGGGATGTAGCATAGTGTTGTAAGCACCCCTGGGTTCAATCCCTAGTACTGAAAACTAAAACAAAAGTGGGGATAACAGTATAAGAGTATCAAAGTAGATTTTTTATATACTTTTATTTTATTTATTAATTTTCTTGTGGTACTGATTGAACCTAGTGTTTCATATGTGCATGGCAAGTGCTCTATCACTGAGCCACAATCACAGCCTCAAAGTAGATTCTTAAGTAGTATAACAGTACTTCAATACTGCTTTACTATGGGTAGATAACAGTACCCACTTTGCTAGGATGCAGCCATGAGGATTAAACAAGATAATGTCAAGTGCTTTAGTAAAAGCAGTCACCGAGGTATGGAAGATACATAGTAAATGTCAGTTTCCTTTTCTATTCCCTTTAATTGGTAATTTAACTACAATATTTCCTAGACCTATTTCAAAAGCTCACCTGATATAGAACACTTCAAATCAGTTTTTCTACCTGAGATTGCTCTTTTGTGTCACAGATAATTTGAAATCAATTAGTTTTATATCAGTATTGGGAAGAGCACATTGAAACAATTGTAATAATAGATGTTCAAGGGCATAACAGTAGAAGACTGTTCCCTAACTTTGAGATACCTGATTGAGGTGACTATATGAAAAGTTGAATAAGAATGCAAAGCAGAGTTGGACAAATTATACAGAAAGAAGTGTTGTAGAAGTCTTGAGATTACAGAGGCTGATGTGTGATTAGTTTATACTCAGGAAATAGACAATTACTCAAGAGTTGTAAGAGAATTCTAGTTTTAAGGCTGAGAAAATAGATGGTGAGGTCTCAGTGATCACAGATATGGAGTGACAGAGGTTTCCTGTCTTCTGGTTCTATGCTACTTGTAGATAGGTTTTTAACTATATTAAGGTCTTTTAATCAGTTTTTATGTTTGCTCTTTCTAGGTAGAGAATTCAGTGTAGACAATTAAGAGCTGAGCCCATGAAACCAAAACATGTGGGTTTGAATCCTGGCTTTGTCAGTTGTTAGCAAGTTCATTTCCCTGTCTCTAAAATGAGTTTGAAAATAATACCCTATTTCATAGGTTTGTTGTGAGGATTAAATAACCTAATATATATGAAGCAAGGAAATCTGTGGATTTGTCATTTTAATTGTTACTAGAATCTTGGAGAGAATGAAAGGCAAGGAATCTAGTGTTTTTGTTTTTTTTAAACCACCTCACTCAGATTTTGATCAAAGCATCCAAAGCTGGGCTGGGGATGTGGCTCAAGTGGTAGCGCGCTCGCCTGGTGTGCGTGAGGCCCGGGTTCGATCCTCAGCACCACATACAAACAAAGATGTTGTGTCCGCCAAATACTAAAAAATAAATATTAAAAAAAAAATTCTCTCTCTCTATCTCTCGCACTCTCTCTTTAAAAAAAAAAAAAGCATCCAAAGCTACCTTAATCCTATTGGAAGTTTTTGTAGCTCTGAAGTGAGATTTGAGATCTATATAAACCTGACCTTGGTCTGGTACTAGGAAAGTTGAGGAAAGTAAAAAATTGACATAGCAACAGGACCTAACAGATTTTCTTTTAAAAAAAGTTAGTCAAGACTAACAGATGAAAAAAGATGGGGGTCAACAAGCTTTCCCATCTATTTTAAGATCTGTTCCAAACTTACTTTGACAAAAATTTAGCCTTTTAAGGAAGGTGCAGAGAACATGCCTCCGTGGGCTTGCTCTGAGGGAATGTTTTAGCAGGTGCTGCATTTCACCCTGGAGGTGGCTGCATGAATTTGTGAACTGAGGTGGCAACACTGACTCTCTCCGGAAGAGAAGATGTTATCTCTACTCAGGGAGTTTAATTACAGTGGCACTACCTGAAACCAGAAGCCGCAGCAGCAGCGGCGGCCGCCACCACTAGCCCAGCCCAGCCCAGCTCAATATTCAGATCAAGGAAAGCAAGAACCATTCCCCGCCCCCCCCACCCCCCTGTTGGGGCACCCTTCTCTATTCTCCTCAAATACCAGCTGAAGAAATTCTGGGACGAATAACAAGCCCAGAGGGCTGTCGCAGCATTAGAGTGAACAGGTGGAGGTGAGAAATAACCTATATTCACAGATCAGAAAAATTATGGAATTTTTTTTGGGGGGGGGCGCGGAGGGGGCAGGGATTCGGTATCATCAGGAAATCTAGGGACAGAAGGGCACCAAGCGCCTCCCAAATCTTCTGCATTCGACCGAGGCAAATCACACAGCCCACCCCCGCCTTCGGCAAGCAGGCGATTTCAGGGCAAAATAAACAACAGTGGAAGAATTTTGAAGGTCTGGCTAGGGATGGGGTTAGTGAGGATCAGGCAAACCCATAGCCTCAGCAAAGGTGGAAGAATTGAGGGTCACCGGGGGCTGATAAGCCCCGCAAACTTTGAGGTCGAAGCAACGGGCGCTCTTCCCCAGGATGTGCCCTGAACCCAGCCTTGAGCAGTCTGTCGGTTTGAATCTCGCCTGCAGATTTCCGGAGGAGAAGCTGACCAGGCAGGCGTTCTTTCAGCGCCTACCTCGGAGCTGACCGCCGAGCCGGCTCTATCACCTGGGAGCAATAGTACCTTTCGAACTCGGGGCGGGGTGGGGGTGGGGGGGCGAGCACCAGCTTTCTCTTAGGGCTGGAGTTCCGATGTGGCATGAACCCACTGCTAGCACCGTGTTCCCATCGCCCTCTCTCCTCCACCTTCTGCTCAGGTGACGTCTGGAAGCCCCGCAGGGCCAGCTTGGGGCTAAGCGGTTAAGCCGCGTCCTTCAGGTGTCAGCCTCCATCTGTTTGGAAACCATAACCCCCAGAGTCCCTTGTGCCAGGAGGCCAGGCCGCAAGTAAGATGGCTCCAGAAGAGTGGAACATGCAGTAGCGGGGAAACCTAGCCCCTGGCAGTTTTTTTTTTTTTTTAACCGGATGTGTTTAAATAACCGAATCCCTACTTCTGCACCACCCCACTAACCATCTTCGAGGCCGCGGAGGCCACGGTCGGCGCCCCGCCCGCTCCTCCCAGGCGCATCCTGGGAGTTGTAGTCCAGCTGCCGGGCTGCGCTGAGCTATCTTTCCCAGGGTGCCCTGCGGCAGGGCGATAGCAACGTTCTTTTTCAAGACTCTTTCTGCACTGAGACCCCCTTCTCCGGTTCTCTTCTCGTCATCGACTCCTTCTTGTCTGTCGCGACCGAGGAGGGCCGTAGACGCGGGGCAGCCGGGCCGCGCCGCCACGAGAGGCACTTCCGGCGGCGGTTCACTTCCTGGTTGGGTGGATGGAGCCGGGCGGGAGCGCGCGCGGGGGAGGGGCGGCGGGTCAGTCTCAGCCGAGCGCTCCGGGAATCAGCTGGCGGGCGGGCAGGCGCCGAACGCGGCCGGGGCTCTGGCTGCAGCGCCGCCTCCTCTCAGCGTCGCAGGCCGGCACGGCGGCCGTGACAATGTTGCGGGGCTGGTAGCTGGGCGCCGGCCGCCGAGCCATCTCAAGTGGGTGCCGCGGGGATGCTGCCTCTCGGGGCGGCTGCCTCTCAGGGCGGCGGGGGGTTCGGGGAGGAGGGGGAGGCAGTGCCGGGCAGGGTCGGCGCTGCCCAGGGCGGCCCGAAATCCCTTCTTTCTCGGAGCCCCGGGCCACAGGGATCTGGGGTTCTGGGACTGGGGATGCGTTTTCAGCTCTAGGGTTTTTCTCGCTAGGAAAATGCATGAAGCCTGGATGATGGCTTTTGCTACCCCTAGGACTCAGCAGTTGAATTTTTAAGTGTGTTACTGATTCATCTTTTCTCTCTCTTCCTCTGTCATCACAGGTTTAAACTTACGCGAATCGCTCTCTGGAGGAGGAGGAGGAGACCCGCCGCGCGATTGACACGCATATTCCTATAGGCATCCTCCTTCAGCCCCCACCCCCACGGCCGGATTCGGGTGGCTCCTCTCGGAGCTGAAATCCGAGAAGAAATCCTTAGATCTCTTAAAAAAAAATCTAGAAACCATCGGTATTTTGCTTTCCTGCTTCCTATTTGCAAGATGAAGAAGTTTTTCGACTCCCGGCGAGAGCAGGGCGGCTCTGGCCTGGGCTCTGGCTCTAGTGGAGGAGGGGGCAGCACCTCGGGCCTGGGCAGTGGCTACATCGGGAGGGTCTTTGGCATCGGTCGACAGCAGGTCACAGTGGACGAGGTGTTGGCCGAAGGTAAGGTGGAACTCAGTGCTCCGTAAATTAAAAATCTTGTGCTGATGTGGCAAGACTCTGGTTTCTAGTTGTTGAATGTATGAATGGGTTTTGACCAGTTGACCCTCCCCTTCCCCCTTCACTTTCCCTGTGAGTCATTGTCCTTGAGAGATTTAAAACTGAGATTGGAAGTGACAGAGCTTAAAGGGGTAGGGGTTGCCGAAATTGTTTACTTCACTGGCTTTTTATTTAAGAAAAAAAGCGTTGAAAAATCACCATGGTTCCCTTACCAAATTATGCAGATCATATGTGCAAAAGTGTAAAGCTTCATATTTAATGTGGGGTGGTGGGCTTGTGATCTTCTGAAACTTGAAATATTGATGTCAATGCTGAAGGGTGGAGGTGGAGGGAATCTATAAGAAGAGAGAGGGGTTTCTTCAACCCAACTTTCCCACTTCCCTAAGCAGACATTTGAAAGGAAGACAGTATTTGGGGGGAATAGAAATGTATTTTTCCAAGGGCCAAGGCTCTTGGTGAATTTTACTAGGTTTGTTTCCGGACCCAATCAGATCCCTAGGATATAGCTAAGGTAACAAATTATGTGAAATGAATGTGACTATTTTGAATTCAGTCTTGGAGGCCCCTGTTCCTCCTGTTTTTATTAAGAAAAACTTGTGAGTGGCCCTGATTTTGTTTTCCCTCTATTGACCAGGATGTTTTTTTGGATCTGTGGAAATGCCTTGTGTGTGTGTTCATTTGTATATCTATATCTATGTATATGTGTGGATATATATCTTTATCTCCCAGGCTTTCGGGAAATCTTTGCCTGTCTCTTTTGATAACCTTAACCTCGACCTTCATAATTATGCCAGACTCATAGTTTTCACAACTCATTGCCTGCTTAGTGTGCTTTTAATTTTAATAAAAGCAGCAATTTCCCTTGGCATGAAGCAATTCAAACTAATTGGATGGGGCCAACCTGCTGTAGGTTATGTTATAGACTGTGAGGTGTTGGGGAAGGGGGAGGTCTCTATTACTGTAACATGGTGGTAGGGAACAGCTTATTAGCTAGGGAAGAGAGAAAGCTAAGAGGTCTCTTTAAAAAGGAGCCTTTTACAAGCTAAGGGTAAAACAGGGATCCCTACCTGGACCTAGGAAATGCCTGTCATGATATCATATAGGCTGGTGGGTAGGTTGGGAAGAGGGAGAATCTGTGTTTGTCTTGCAGCTTGTATAACCACTGGATTCAACAGGGCCAAGTTTCTGGGGATAGGTTTGAAACCAGCACTTGAAAAACACTATTAAAAAAAAAAAGGTACCTGACACCTAATGTCCTTGTGAAATTATTGCTCTTTTTTATTCTCAATATTGCTTTAGCTGGACTTAATTTGGGGCCTGAGTCACTGTCCCTCTGGATCCTTCCTTGTGGGCTTTGGTGCAGGATGGGAGATGCTTCTGTGCCCACTGCCAGATCTGTACCCTTGAGTCTGATATGTCTATTTCATCCCTGTGCCAAAGCCCTTGACTGCAGAGGGGTGAAGAAATAGAGAAGTGTGTGTGAGGGAGAGATCAGGAGGAATGAGAGAGTTCTTTCCTCCCTGCTAACCTTATAGCCCAGGAACATATTGTTTAGCTTAGATGTTATCTCATGGATGGTGTTGCCCTAAGTGATGCCCATTCTTCAAGTCTGAGAAGAGAGATGGGGAAGAAAAAAAAGGCAGAATTGGTCTTCATTATCTAGGCTGCCGTCCTCTGTCCTGGAATTCATCCCTGAGAATGGTGCATCATACCTTATGATGTTTTTAAGCAGAACTTAAGGCTTGCAGCTCTGCATTCATTTGTTTGTTTATTCATTCAACAAACAATTATAGAATGCCCATAATGTGCCTGGCATCATGCTAGGCTCTGGAGACATGATATTAAACCAGATATAAGAGTTTACAAACTGCTGTAAGAGATGGAAAATAGCCAGATATAATAGAGTGATTAGTGCTATCATGGAGGTATGCTTAGGGTGCAGTGGCTGCCAATTTGTTTTTTGGGGGAACCCAATTTTTAGGGAGCCAAGAACTGTTGCCTGGAGAAAGTGACCAAAGAATGAGTAGGCGTTAACCAATGTGGTGGCAGTATGGGCAAAGACTCAGTAGCAGAGAGTGTCATGTAAAATTGGGTCTGGCAGTGTTGTTCTTAGTGTTCTTTGACTGTAATTGAGTTTGAATTTGTGGCTTTAGAAATATGTAGATATGTGGGAGTTAGTATACAAAGTGTTTATGTAGTGCCTACCAAGACCAAAGGCACTTCTGAGTTCTGAATGGGATGAGAGATGTCTAACATGTGAAATCTGCCTTTATGGAGCTGCCAGTGAATTTGGGAAGATAAGATATACACTGATCTGTACAGTAGTATGGTTTTTAGCACTGTAGAGTTGGACAGGTCTAGGTTCAAGTTCTGGATCAGTTCTTTACCAGCTGTGGAACTTGGACAAAACATTCTAAACCTGTCTTGAATCTGTTTCCCTATGGCAGTGTTCTTAAAGCTTGGAGCCCTTATCATGAATAGTGTCATGACCTGGGAGCTTGTTAGAATTACAGATTTGTAGGCCTCACTCCAGAGACTGTGGGTGTGGGGCTTTAACAAGTTCCTAGGGAGATTTTTGGGAACCACTGCTCTGTGAATGGTCTTGAGGATTAAATAAGGATGTATGTTTATATACACATAGTATTTAACATTTTTCAGGTGGTCAATAAATGATAGCCACTGTTTGCCATCAATATATATATTTAGTTAAAGGGAATGTATGTCAGTGTGAGGGCTGTTTTGGCTGTTGCAATCCAAAGCTTTTTCCCCATTGTGGGTGGGCTGATCCAGATGTTCTTTGCAAAGGTCTCATTAGCTCATTAAAGGATCAACAGATAAATGTTGGGTAGTCACAGTCCTTCCTTGGCCCCTCTTCTCTGAGTCTGTAGGTGCTCACCTATTTACCAGTCCCAGCCAGAGTTGTTTAAGGACAATGAGAGTTATATACTATATGCCCAGGGCAGTGATCAGGCAGTTTAGGGAGTTTGGTGTGGGGAAGGCTTCAAAGAGATTTGATTACCACCACATCCTATTGAGTATTTCTTTTTCCCTAATGTGGGTATTGGTCTGTGCTTCATAATGAGGAATTGAAAGAACCCTAAGAAACAGATGCTAGGTAAGACAGGAGAATTCTGGGTTGCTATCTCTCTGTCAGTTGCATTAACCTTGCTCTTCTGATTCACTAAGTATTCCAGAGGGGACACAGCTGTGGGTAGGGGGAAGTGAAGGCTTTAAGTCTTGAGTTAGCTATGGGTGTCTCCAGGCAGGGTGCTGGGGTGGATACTTTCTAACTTTTTTTTTTAGTGAAGATGCTATTATGAGATGCTAAGTCATGTCTGAGTTAATGGGCATGTGATATCAAGGGAAGGTTTGGTTTAATCTTCCAGAATGAGCTCAATGGGAGAATTAGAGCAGTGCTTAAAGAAGGACTGAGAATTGGTGCTTTTGTTGTATTTCCTTAGCTATATGAGTCCTTATTTCTAAGCTTTAACAACAAGGAAGTGTTGAATGCCTGCTGTGTCCGATACAACATCCTTGAGCTGTATCAGTTCTGAATAAGGTGGACAGCTGGCTTCTTAGAAGGGTTTTATCGCCTAGACCAAAAGAACCTAGGTCCAGTGCTAATGATAACTAAGATGCCCTATCAGAGAACTAGTAATTTCTCCTATCTGTAGAATAATGTAGTGGGGCTTAAAAATGTGTGAACCACCAAGAAAAAAAATTCATATATGGCATATAATTCAAACACATTGGTAGTATTGATATGAGGCATGTATGTACACATCTTGTAAACATTTATTTGTGCTTCTTTGTGGCAGGCACTGTGTTAGATTTCAGAGACAATAAATAGGTTGGATGGGGCATGGACGAGTAGACCAATAAGTAGCAAATAACCCTGAGATAAGCATCTAATACTTAGTATGGGCCTTGGCATGTGGTAGATATTAAGAGATGTTAAGATGATAAAGAGAAGGGGTCTGGGGATGAGGGCCCCTAGATGATGGAAGTTTTGAACAAGAATGGAAATTACCCAGCAGATGTTCCAGCTCGGGGTTACCCAAGGACTTCTAGCCAGAGGCAGTGCATATGCAGAGGTGTAGAGTGGTGAAACAAAATCAGCTTTGGGAATACTGACTTAGTTTAATGTTAACATTTGGTGTAAGTTTCCCTCCATAATCAAGGAAAGGACATAAAGTGGTAGAATGAAATTCCTTTACATTTGCTCTCGAAGGTACATTTGAATGTGTTTGCTGCTTACTTTCTTTAGTGGCCCTGGGCCTTTTGAAGAATTATCAAATCTCTACAAATAAGTGCTGTTCCTCTACTGTGCCTCAGTCCTGTGCTAATTGTGGGGAAAGGGAACAGCTAATATCTGGGGAAGAGGTGTTCTAGAAGTGTCCTAAGAGGCAAGAAGCTTGAAGCAGAAGCAGGCAGGTGTGGGGAGATGGTGTAGGTAGGGAGTGATAAAATGACCACTGTTATGGAAAGGACTGAGCAGGGTGACTGAGGATGTTTGACTAGACAGAAGGTCTGTTGGCGAGACAAGAAAGAAATTAGTTTGTGGAGAACCTTGAGAGCCAGGCAGAGATTAGTTATAAGCACCTGAGGCCTTCTCTTGACGCAAGTATCAGTTTGATCCCTCCCACTTCAGATGTCTTTGCCTGCTGGGAAGTCTGGTTTTTTAGAGGCAACTGCAGATTTTCAGGGGGTGGTTTGAGAATGGTGTCTTCTTCCTGGCTTCGGGTATGATGACGATTATAGCTTTGCTAAATATAGCCAAATCCAAAATTCAGAAATGAAGTCCAGAATAAGCATTTGCCATGGTCAAAGCCTTTTTGTTGGTCTTTCTAATGAAGTCAAGCTCATTTAATGAGAGATAATGAAGAGAGAACACATGGGTTTTGAGTGGGACAGTGTGGGGGAAGGCATATAGTTGTACGTCA